AAACTTTAAGACAATAATGGATATACTCTAATCAAATACCCCATAAAATTTACTTGATAAGTGAAAACACTTGTCAAAGAAAAATGTAACTAAAACTTGGTAGGAAAACTTAGTAGTGCTTTAATTTTCATTTGCCTCATCTTCATATCTTCTCTGACTGAAGGACAATCTTTAAATGGCAACACACATTCCCAATGTGGGTTTGTGATGCTGGACCTTGTTATCAAATATAGCAGTTGAATCCTTTTGACAGTCAGGTGTCTCCTTAAAGGACTCATGCAAAGGACTTGCCTAAATTCCACATATCCCAGAATGCTGTCAAGGCTGACAACTGAATGGTCAGAGGACATTATCAAAAAACAAACAAATAAGTTACTTCAGCCATTGCTGTGCACAGCATCAGAGAGGCTTGCATTGACAGGGAGCGGGAGTACAATCAGTGCTTCAATCGCTGATTCCAAGAAGTTTTTCAAGGGAGACGGTTCTGGGGACCCGTGTACTGATGTCTTCAAGCACTATCAGCAGTGCATTCAGAAAGCAATAAAAGAAAAAGAAATTCCTATTGAAGGACTAGATTTCATGGACTATGGCAAAGAAAAGTCTGAAAATTCTTCTTGACCTTGAAAATGGATTCCTCATCAGGAAATTTTGAAGGTTGATTTGTCAACTAAGGCCCTGAAAATAGCCATGGGATTGATGAGTTTAGGAGGGTGGAGTTTTATTTCTTCCTTCTTGATGCTTTCTTAACTTGTAAATGATGATCTCTGCTTTAGATTTTTCACTTACTCTGGCATCTTGCCAGTGTGCTAAAACTGAACAATTTCTGTAGATTATGATTGCAATACATGGTTGGGAATTAGCTTTAAATATATCTATGTAAATAATGATAAACTAGTTAAGTTGATGAGGGTTGCCTGATGTCTTGATTTTCCTGCGAAGACATTACACTGTACTGGGGTCATTGTGAAAGCATTTGGTTAGGACCTTCTTTTTCTCTCTCAGGAAGTAAATACTCTAAAGATATCTGAGCACAACACTTTCAATCAGTTTCATTTTTATACAGTGACTAACAGTTACATTTGTGGGTGACCTGGATTAGCAATGAGGGAGATAGCTTTTAGCATTCTCTGCCTCTAAGTGTCTAATTAACACATGAAAGCTTCAAGAACGTTGAAGTAAACACCACTACAGAGCTCATAGTGTACTTGAGGAATCAGGATACTTGCAGTGCCTCGGGAAGAACCACCTATTACAGAGATTTGATGTTGCCAGCTTTCAACTCAAGTTAATAAGTTGAGTCAACCTGCCTATCAAAAAAGATCCAAAAATGCTACATCTGTTTAAATGGAGGGGAAAGGTGCTTGCTTTATTTGCCTATAATGTCTATAATCATGAAGATGGAATAAACTCTTAACATTAATTTTCAGTCCTTAAAAACCAAACAAACAAGCAAATAATAATAACAGCAGAGATTTAACAGTGCAGAGATTTAACAGTTATCATAATTCACTATGATGCCCATTCTGGTTTGACTATTATCTTCTTTTGAAGTCCTGTAATGTCTCCAATGTTTTGGTTTTATTGGTTTTGTTCTTTACTGTTTTGTTCAATTTTATTATAACAGAGGATATAAGCAATTCTTTTTAAGATAGCAAGAGGCATTAGGCTCACCACTGTTGATCACCTTGTATTCTGTTTTTACATTATGTACTATGTCCCTCCTTTTGATTTGACTGACTCTGTTTTATTATGTCACATTTGGTTTTATTCTCTTAAAAAAAAAAGTAATAAGAACTGTGGGAAAAATAAAACCCAAAAAGTGTAATTGTCAATGTAAAAAAGAAAGGAAAAGAAAGTGCTCTAAAGATATAACTGCATGTATATTTAAGCGTGTAAGACAGGTAACCATATTACTGAGTTTTTGTTGGATTATTGAACAGAACTGTTTGCAATCTCACTGTTTGAATGTCTACTTTATATGGTTTAATTTTGTAACTTGAACAACTATTTCTAAGATGACAATATGTAGTCTATTAACTAGTGATTTCCTACTGTTTATTTTTTTTTGAAATTCTGTATAACTTGTACCTTTTTTCTGTTTTTTTTTCTTTTTCTCCTTAAATACAATTAAAAAAAAAAAGAGTTCAATTTATAGGCTTACTGTGCTGTTAAAATCTTTAGGAATTTTTTTGAGTGAATTTCATGGAAGGGAAAGAAGGACTTGAGTAACTTGTGTGCTGAAGCTGCAGCTTTTAATAAAACTAATGTTTACAAAATGTCAGTTTCCTTTCTGCCCAACTTTTATTTCTTCTATCTTGTCTCAATTTGAAGTTATGCAATTTTGAGAAAGAGAAAAGAAAACCAATCTTAAGGGACTTGTGTGCATTATTCAGATGTAGAAAGACAAGGATAATAGGATTCTTAAAAGTAGAGGGGAGAGGCTCAGAACACGGAAGAATAACTGAAGAAATAATGAGCAAGGACTTCCTACATTTGATGATAGATAAGAATCTGTACCTCCAAAAGGCTCACCAAATAGAATAGACCAAAGGAGATCTGACAAACAATCCACAATGACATAATCAAACTGCTGATGGACAGATGGGGAGTCTTGCAAGCTGAATGAGAGAAATGAACAATAACTTGGAAGAAGTCCTTAATAAGAATAACAATTTCTCATCAGGTATCATGGAAACCAGAAGGCTTGAGATGAGATAGAATGCTGAAAGGAAAAAAAAGACCTGTCATACTACAGCTCTATATTTGGTAAAACTGTTTTTCAAAAAGAAAAGAGAAACTAAGACATCTCACGACATATAGCACTTAAGGAGTCTGCCATTTGTAGATCTTGTCTACAAGGAATCCTCAAGGAAGTCCTCCAAACTGAAATGGAAAGGCACTCTTCAGTACCTTGGGACCATAGAGAAATAATGAGCAAAGGGAAAAGTAACATAAGTAGGAAGATGATTTTTAATTTATGGCACTGTATTACTTCTTTTTCATATATGATTTTAAAACTATCATTGTGAACAGAATTGATAAAAATGTATGTATGTAAATGTATGTGTGTGAGTGATATTTTCCATAGGTATAAAGATCTTCATTCTTGTTTTTTAAGAAGCGCAACTGAAATATTTTAGATGGACCTCACATTAGAACTATTTATAGTAGTATTTATCTTTAGATAAATTATCTTTAAATGGAAACTAGGTTTTCAGTAATCTGTGGCTCACAAAATACTGCACACTGCTGTGGGAAAAGCAGACTGCTTAGCAGGGATGGAGGACAGAACTATGGTTTCCTCTTTAGTCACTGCCGTAGCATTTTCCTTCATGGACCTGAATGAGCTCACCTGTCCTTCAAACATCATTAGACACGAGTGCTTTTGCAGGGTAGCTTTGATGACAGAGGAGTATTATCACTTTCTGACCACTGATATGGTTTTTGTGTCTCCTATCACACTAGATCTATGTATCCATTAATGTAATTTTTTGGTACAAGTCTTACAATGAGCTGCGCTCCTTACAATTACTGTGCTAGAGGCCCACAGCCTAGTTTTCGTGGTCTGTGTTTCCTATTCAATCCCTTTCCAAGGTTGTGGTGGCTGCCGTCTACTGCTTCTATTGTTTGCCCTTTGTTTTTCACATTTACTGAGAAATGGTATCGTGTTTTGTTAAGTAAATCTTTTTTTTTTTTTTTTTTGATTCTGGGGTTGAACTCATGACCTCACACTTGCCAGGCAGGCACTTATGCTATTGAGCTAAATCCCTGGCTTTGTCAAGTAAATCTTATTCCTAGTGAAAAGGATCCCAATATAAGCATATTTGCCTTGTTTTGTTTCCTACACAGAAAATAGAATGATCTGACCAGGCCGTGTTTGGTGGATGCTAATTCCATGATTTTAGAGTCGGAAAAGCCCTTCTGCTTTGCTGACAGCCAGCCTCCAGCTTCTGCACAGACAACATCAGGCTGTGAAGCAAAGGAGGAGCATGAGTTGGCTGGATTTGTTTCTGTGTTGGTCCAGTTTCTCTCCGATGTAGATATTCTATTGATCGACGTGGTCTGTTTCTCAGGCATCAAGAAGAGTGGAAAATGCAGGGAAGGACAAAAGGCCGGAACCACACCTTTCAGAGCTCAAACCTAGACATCAGGGCTTTATTGAAGTGAACAGAAAGAAGTTTAGACAAATAAAGAGGATTGTCACATTTTGCTGAGAGGATAGCTGATGAGGCGGCTCCATCTCCACTGCACCCTTGAGCAAGCCTTGTTTCAGCATGGCTGTAGAATCACTGCCAAATTGAAGGAAGTATTTCTACTGTCCTAGTTTCTAGTCTTGATAAAAAAGTTTAGTCTGGCTGTGTGCTAAAACTAAGTTTGTTAAGCAAGATTTTAAGCCATTCTGTTTTGAAGGATTCTTTTGAATTACAAAGAAAATGCTTTAAAAGCTGAAGAGGAGGAAGTGGTCTCAGGGTATCTGGCCTGACCTATAGAAGAGCTATGTAATGTGAAGGACTCCTGACTCACATTTCTACAACAGAAGTGCATGAATGATTTTTCAGTGCATGAGACTATCTTAAATAACTACTCCTCCTCACAAAAGAGTTGCTATTTGATATAAAATATAAATGTGCACGTGTGCATATTTTTATGCACATCCCATACATACTCATTGATTGACTGGCAGTAAATGTTTCTCTAACTTTTAATTTAAAGAACCAGATTTTTCCTTTCAGTAGTATATTTAACAATTGTCTATATTTTATTATATTTATTATATTTTATTATTCCTTTCATCCCTACTGTGAGTCCACAGGATGGCAATGGCTTCTCAGTAACCTAAGGGCAGTTCTCAAGTGGTCCTATGCATGCGTGTGTGTGTGTGTGTGTGTGTGTGTGTGTGTGTGTGTAGGGGGGAAGAAGGAGGAAGGGGAGAAAGGAAGGAGGAGGGGAAGGAGGGAGAGAGGGAGAGAGAGAGAGAGAGAGACAGAGAGGCAGAGAGACAGAGAGGCAGAGAGAGGCTTGTTGGTATAGTGAAATGAACCTCATTTTTTTCTGTTGTGAGAACAAAATCTTTTTAGCTTTCCTGAACTGAAAGAGTCTGATGAGGTCTTATTTGTTTTATGATTTAAAATCTGAATTCTTGGTGAATCTGGGAGAAAGAATGGATTTTTTCAGTGGTTTGCTAGTGATCCTGTGGCTTCAGTTTATCTGTGAGTTCTGACATTTCTATGGGGATATAATAGACCATGTGTGAAATAGCATCTCTTCCAAGAATGTGGGTGGTTTTACCTTCTAAAAAAGGGAGACTTAAGCACTGAAAGATAAATTTTATCATGTAGAGTAAGCGCCCACTACCCAATTGATCTTTTTCATCTGTTGTATTTTTCCACAGGGGTGAGCTGCCAACATAAGGAGGTGGAGCAGAGTCCTGAGACCCTCAGTGTTCCAGAGGGAGACACCACCTCTCTCAACTGCACTTACAGGGACAGCAGTTCTTACAACTTCAGGTGGTACCGACAGTACCCTGGGAAAGGCCCTGAGCTGCTGATATCCATATTCTCTGATGGTGACCAAGAAGAAGGAAGATTCAAAGCACAGCTCAGCAGACCCAACCGACATGTTTCCCTGCACATTGGGGCCTCGCAGCCCCTTGACTCAGCCACCTACTTCTGTGCAGTGAGCACACAGTGCTCCCCAGGCACTTGCTGCCTGCACTCAAACCACAGAGGCTCAGGCAGACCTGAGGAACAGTGGAGATAGCAGGGCAGGAAAGTCTGTTCCTATTCCAGATGCAGTGAAAATTACAGAAAATAATGGGAAGTGTTTCATGGAGAAGAGAAGTATTTTTAACAATTATGAAAGTAACTGACCATGAGGGGTAAGTTTATACCCATGAAACTGTCACCATAAATCATTCTGTAAACATAACACTTGCCTAAAGATGTTTTAAGTCATAGATTGTTTTAGCTGTAGAGCTCCTATGTCATCTCTGCTCTCAGCTGCAACTCCTCTTCTGCATTGGCTAAGGACACCTCAGGATGGGGAATGGAAGGGTGGACTAGAGTCAGAATGTGAGGGCTGGTAGAAACAAAATGCTCAGCTGGTTGCAGCTATTCCAGATCAGAGAGTGTCTGTATTGCTGTTCTTTTTTTTTTTAAATTTTTTATTTTTTATTTAAGGAGAAAAGAAAAATAACAGTGAAGAGGTACAAGTTATACAGATTTACAGAAGAAAAAATGCGCAGTAGGAAATCACTAGTTAATGGCTTACATATTGCCATCTTAGAAATAATTGTTCAAGTCACAAAATTAAAGCTTGTAGAGTGGACATTCCAACAATGATACTGCAAACAGTTCTGTTCAATGATCCAATAAAACTCTGTGATATCATTTTCTATCTTATACACTTAAATATACATGCAGTTATATAGTTTAGAGCACTTTCTTTTCCTCTCTTTTGTACAATGACTATTACACATTTTGGGTTTCATTGCTCCCACGGTTCTTATTGCTTTTTTGGAAGAGAGTAAAACCAAATGTGACATAACAGAACAGAATCGGTCAAGTCAAAAGGGTGGACATAATAGATAATATAAAAACATAATACAAGGCGATCAACAATGGTTACCATAATGCCTCCCGCTATCTCTAATAGAATTGCCTATATCATTAGTTGTAATACAATTGAACAAAACAGTAAAGAACAAAACCGACAAAACCAAAACATTGGAGACATTGTAGGTCTTCAAAAGTAGATAAAAGTCAACGAGAATGGGCGTTATAATGAATCTCATTATCTTCTCAGCTGATGTCTAAACTTTCGAACCTGATACTATCCAGTAAAACAGAATAGAGGAACCTCAGTCAAAAACAAGATGGTGAGAGTAATACAGGGCTTTAAATCGAGATAATAGAAAGTCAAAGTGGGTTATTATATTATATTCTGCTATTTTTTCCCTTTAATTAAATGGATAAAAATGAAAAAGTAAATAATGGAGTGGAGATTGAGAAAAAAAGAGGGCATAACAGCGAAACAGGGCAGATCAAAACATAACCATTTAAGCAGAATAGTGTTTTACCACCAGATAATTCCGACCCAAAAGTAGTTACCATATTGACTCTTTCCTTGAAGTCCTTGAGTACAACTTCGTATACTGTAGCATTAAGTATATCAAAACAATGTAAAACCATTTAAGAGAATGACAGCATTATAGAGTATTTAGAATCGACTAACAGAAAATGAACAATGGTTTCTGTATAATCTTGTCTTTAAAAGGTTTTTGCTTATACTATCGTACATAATAAAATCCAATAAGATACAGCCTATTTAGACCATTGGAGACAGAAGGACAAAAGCTAGATGAGACTTCAAAACAAGATTATACTAAATCAGTATTACCTATTAAGATGTCATTTTCTCCAAAATAGCTGTTCCTATCATCCAATCTTCTCTGTCTCATTTCTGTTGAGCTCTTTTTCTGTCAGTAGCTGTCAGTTTGTCTTCTTCATTTTGTTCTCTGCTCCATTCGTTGTGGCCTCCCCGCCACTATTTCTGGGTTCTTTGTATTTTTCTTTTTTTAGAATATCCTGCAATACTTTCTGTAGGGTTGAATTGGTGGTTGCAAATTCCCCCAGTTCCTCTTTATCCTGGAAGCACCTCGTTTTTCCATCAATTTCCAGGGACAGTTGTGCAGGACATCTCAATCTTGGCTGGAGATTATTATTTTTCAAAGCTTGAATAATTTCCCCCCATGCTCTTCGTGATTTGATGGTTTGTGCAGAGAAATCTGCTGTAATTCTGATGGGTGTTCCCTTGTAAGTGGTCTGTTTCTTGTCTCTTACAGCTTTTAATATTCTGTTCTTGTATTGAATTTCTGGAATTTTAATTATTATATGCCTGGGTGTTTCTCTGTTAGGGTTGTAGGTAGCTGGGGTCCTGTATGCCTCATACATCTGAGTATCTTTACCTTTTGCTAAACTAGGAAAATTCTCCTGGATTATTTCTGTGAGTAGCTTTTGTAGTTAACTTGTTTGTGTCCCTACTTCTTCTTTTATGTTCTTAATCCTTAAGTTATGGCTCCTCTTATCATCTTCTTGTCTTTGTATTATTGCTGTTTGTTTCTTTGTTATTTTTAAGAAGTTTTTCATTTCATTCTCCCATATTACAAGTCTGCCCTCCAGTTCAGATAGTCTGTCCTTAGTTTCTTTCAAGCTGTTATGCCAGTCTTGGATAGACTTCTTAATTTCTTGATAGTCCCTTTGAACCTGCTTCACATGCTCAATGCTTTCTCTGTTTTCTCCATCAAGCAATTCTCTCCTCTTTTTCTATTCTTCCATTCCACCATCTGTTTTTTCCTGGGTGGTGCTTAGCATTTCTCTAACTATTCTGCATACTTCTAGCTTTAGGTCGTTGATAACTTCATTCCTGAATTGGTCTATGAGGCTCTCTATATGGCGCTTAATGTATATTGGTGCGGTGTCCACTATTGCCTGTTTCTCAGAATTGGGGGCCGAGGAGCCTTTGTTGTTGCTTCCCTTCCCCATATTTTCTGTTCCTTATAAAATGCAAGCTTACATAGGAGCCCCGGCTTCCCTGCCTGTCAGCCACAGCCTGATCAAATTGCGCTGGCTAGTTGTTCCCGCCCACCGCTGTGCACCAGGGAGTTGCGGAGGAGGCAGCCTACGCGGGAGTCAGTCACTCCTCCGAGCCACCATCAGGCTCTGGGATCTGGGTTAGGCCAGTCTACCGAGACCGCCAGCAGCGTCACGCAGGCCAGGCACTTTTCTCCAATCCCGTCTGAGAGGGGAATGTGTGGCTGGAGTCGCCACCACGCCCTGCTCTTACAGGACTGCCCGAGCCCAGAAAGTCCTCCGCTGGAGTCAAACTGTGGTAGGGAGTCAGTTTCTCTCACTCACCTCGCCACCAGTCAGTGTACGCCTCTTTGTCCGTCCTGTTTTCGACTCCGTTCTCAGACTCCCATTCCCAGAGCTTCTGCGCGTCTCTCCTTGCCGAGCTGCTGTGGAGGCAGCCAGCCGCCGAGTGGCGGGAAACCCAAATCGAGGTTTCCAATGGCGCGGGGTCGAGCCTCCACACCGAGTCTTTTCTGTTCCTATTTTAGCGCCAGGACTGTATTCTAAGTTGGTTTCTCTCAGCCCAGTTCGTTCCTAAGTCAGCAGAGCATATCTCTACCAGTTCATGTCTCCTTAGTCCGCATCATTCCTGGCCTCTGAGCCGAGCCTTTCAGAGAGCCTCCGGTAGTTGCTGTTGTCTGTCCGCCATGTTCTCCTGGAAGTGTATTGCTGTTCTTGAGTGTGAGCTGGGAGACTCTCAGAGTTTCTGGCCTGAATTTTGATTCTTCTACCCTGGGGTTGGCATGCGAATGTGAGAAGCAATAGCCATAGAGGGCTGCACAACTTGTAACAACAAGAGAGCATAGGATAACCCTGGATTTCCTAGGAAGGACCTTTGAGAAAGTATCTAGAAGAGTTCCAGGCATCAAAGGGTTGGGTCTGGTACATGGTTCTGTTAAAGGACACATGGCATTGAGTGTATTTTAGTAACTAGGATAGTTGGGGACATTAAAAATCATGTAATTATCCCCCTCCTTTAACTCTTGTATACTACAGATTTTTCTTGTACTTACACTATATCCAGGAACAGTATTTGTGGCTTGATAAGCCACATTTACAATTGCATAAGAGGAACTGTAGGGAAAAACTAAACGCCACACAGATTACAAATCTGACATTATAGTGTGATTTATGACATTGTTCACATAGTTCAGAGATCAAAAATACTTACAAATAGGAAATTAAGATTTCTGTTCAGTTTTCTTCACATAGCCACTAAGTGGTTCAACAAATTAGGATTTGCTTCTTATTTTTAACCTGCACAAGTGATCACAAATAAATATTTCCAAGGATGGAAAAAATATTTGGAAGACAATAAGAAGAGCAGAAAGTTGTGATAGACTCAAGATACTTAAATTTTGGGTCCATTTTTCAGGAGTGGTATTTCTTACCCTTACTATAAATATACCTCAAGAGATATTGCACAGGCTTTTAAAATAATTTAAAAATATTCTTATTTTCTTGGCAGTCCAGAACCTGAAGCAAAAAGATTCTTCAGTTTGGAAATAGGAGATCAGATTTGACAACATAGTGAGTTTCCACTTCAGAAACAACAACAACAAAAACAAAACTAAACTAAACAAATAAACCCTAATTGAACAAAAAAGTAGATAGAAAATTTGTGTTCAAAGACATTTAGCACAGACTACTACTTCTGCTAAATCAAAGACCTAAATTCTCACTTATGTTTCTTTGGCTGTAGACATACATAATTCCTTCCAGCTTTTACCTCATGTATCTTTTCATTCTTCTAGAGTTTCTCAGACAGAATATTTGCCTTTATGTCTTTATTTGTCTAGGGGCTATATTTTCCAGATCAAAAATTTTTTTTATTTGATGGTAGGAAAACTTAACACAAGATATATGATTTTAGACAAATTTTAAGTAGAAAATTCAGGATATTATAGGCAAAATGTTACACAGTGGATCTCTAGAGCTTATTTATTTGTGTGTGTTTAACTTTCTGCTTTTTGATCAATATCTTCCCATTAACTACTTTGCCTAGCCCCTAGCAACTACTATTCTATTTCTGTTTCTGCAAAATTTGACTATTTTAGAATCATGCAGTGTTTCCCCTCCTGTGAGAGGCTTATTTTAGTGATCATAACATTCTCAAGGTTTGTGCATGTT